AAGCATATCTCTGGTAAATGAATAGCATTTTCCCATATATGTCAACAGGAGAACTGCTATTACCAAAGTTACATTTACCTATGTTTGAGATAACAAGTTAAACAAAAAATGTAGTGATAATTACAAAACACTTAATAACTCAACCAAAATAATATGACAACTGGGGAATTAACTAGTGATGCAGAAAGTTCTCCTGCTTAGTCCCTTAACTACTGATCTATATTATGATTTAAAAAATAACAGCATTTGCTGTATAGCACTATACTTGCAGGCTGTTAAAGGGACACTATAGGCACCCAGACCACGTCAGCTCATTGAAGTGGTCTGGGTGCAGTGTCACGGACCCTCTTAGCACTGCAATGTAAAACACTGCAGTTTTAGACAAAGAGAGACCAGATCTACCAGATTGAGAGGCGTTTCCCAGGATTTTACCAGACTTTAGGTTTACTAACTGACGCTGGACATCCTCACACACTGCATGAGACATCCAGCATCAGTTAAACCCCTGTAGGAAAGGATTGAAGCATTAGAGGCACTAGCCCTGCATGGGCATTAGCTCCGCCTCCTTGGATGGCGTTGGAGGAGGTGTGGTGCCGACCCAGCGCCGGAGGACATAGGTGCTGGAATTGGGTAAGTGTAATAAGTTTCTTTTTAACCCTTGCAATGCTGTGGGTGGGCGTGTGTTTAGACCTCACTCTCTATTCCTCTCTCCTTGTCATAAAGTTTGACCTTCAAACTTACAGAACGGGATTATTTAAGATCTGGTGAATTAAGCTCTAGTTAAATAAATGTGCAATACCATACCCAAGCTATGACCAGTTCAAGGAATTAATGATTAATTTCTACATTAAAGGACCACTATAATCCCAGGAAAACATACTCAGGGTCCCCCTCCCGCCAGTCTCTGGTGGTAGGAAGGGGTTAAACTTACCTCTTTCTCCAGTGCCCGGCGGGGAGCTCTCCTCCTCCTTTTCGGCTCAATGCACATGCATGGCAGAAGCTGCGCACGCATTCAGCCAGTCCATAGGAAAGCATTCAAAATGCTTTCCTATGGACGCTGGCGTCTTCTCACTGTGATTTTCACAGTGAGAAGCGCGGAAGCCCTCTAGCGGCTGTCAATGAGACAGCCACTAGAGGCTGGATTAACCCATTTATAAACATAGCAGTTTCTAAACATAGGACAATCACCATGGAAACCGGTGGTACCAGATGAACATTCCATTGGTGACTCTTCCATTTTCTGTTCTGCTCAATTGCAATGTTCATCCTGGGTTTGTCTTGTTTGAACTGGGTTATGATGTAATTTGTTAAATCTTTAATATTAATGTATTTACTAACGTATTAGACATACAGGGTTATTTACTAAACTGAGTATTGTCAGGAATTGAAATATAATTCAAAGTGAACTAAAGTGTAGAAAGGAGAAACAAAAGGGTGAACCATTTAGTAGGCGAACCCCTCTGAATAGCGAGTAACCCAGATAAAATCTAACTTTTAATAAGTATTATATATAAATGTAGTGAAAATACTCAGTCTCACTATATAGTAGGAGTAAGCTGAATAAGTATAACTTCTGCCTTAATAGGAGAAATAAATTCCCCAAAATTACATAAAGAAAATTGAATGAGAATATATTAAATATAGAAGTAATATTATCTAAATAAATATACAGAAAAAATAAGTGGACAAAAATAAAAAATAAAAATAAAAATTAAAGTCCAATAATATCTCACTGGAAGACTTTTATTTTTATTTTACTTTTATTTTTTATTTTTGTCCATTTATGTTTTCTGTATATTTATTTGTATTTTCACTACATTTTATATTTAATACTTATTAAAAGTTACGTATTATCTGGGTTACTCGTTATTCAGAGGGGTTTACCTACTAAATGGTTTCTCCCTTTTGTTTCTCCTTTCTACACTTTAGTTCATTCACCCTGGGGGTTATTTCCCATACCCCCACTTTAGAGTAACCTGACACCTTCTCCCTGATAGGTTTCTTTATTTCTATATCTCACCATATAATTAAAAGTGAAATTCAAATTTAAGGAAAAATTCTCCATGTCAGCTGTGCTTCTAGGTTAGCTACTTTGGTCTTAAATTTGAAATTCAATTTGAATTACTGACAATTCTCAGCGAATAACCATGATAATTTCTCTTGGGCAATAAGCTTCAATCAGCTCCTGTTATATTTTAGGAGCGAGGAACAAATTCCCTTATTTTATCTAATGTATAGGCAACAAGGGAATGGAAGATTTTATTTGTGAAGCAAGGTTTACAAATTGAAATCTGTTTAGTTCAGAAAAATGGCACCTGAGAGGGGACATGATAGCATTATAGAAATATATTCGGCACCACTACAAAACATTGTCTGGAAATGTATTCATAAACAGGACTATACAGAGAACACAAGGTCACACATTTAGACTGGAAGAAAGGAGACTTAGTCAAAGGCAAATGAAAGGGTCTTTTTACAGTAAGAACAATAAGGAATCCTCTGCCTGAAGAAGTGGTTTTATCAGTGTCTGTACAGATGTTCAAACAGCAATTGGATAAAAAGTTTACAAAAACAGTGTTCGGGGATATAATTTTTAATGTGTGGGGTAATAGCTTCTTGATCCGAGGAGAGATCTAACTGCCATTCTGGGGTCAAAGCATTTTTTTTTCTCATTTATTGCAAATGTGGAAGGCTTTCTGCCTTCTTTTGGATCAACAGCAAAACCAGATGTGAAAAGACTAAACTTGATGGACACATGTCTCTTTTTAGCAAATGTAACTATTAATGTTATTCACTAAAATGAAAATACAAAGTGAATTTAAAGGTAATTTCATTTTCAAGGTAAAAATAGCGGATAAGTCAGCTTTGCTTCCAGTTAGGCTATGTAGGCCTTAAAGGGACACTATAGTCACCAAGACCACTTTAGCTCAAGTGGTCCCTCAAGTTTTAACCCTTCAGATGTAAACATAGCAGTTTCAGAGAAACTGCTATGTTTACATTAGGGGTTAAGCCAACCTCTAGTGGCTGTCTTCATGACAGCTGCTAGAGGCACATCTGCAACGCTGGATGCGACTTTGGCATCCATCGTGCAGAGCGTCCATAGGAAAGCATTGAGAAATGCTTTCCTATGGACTGTTTGAATGCACGCGCGACATTTGCCGCGCATGCGCATTTCGCTCAACTCGGGAGCTAACATCGGCGGGGGAGGAGAGGTCACCAGGGCCAAGGGAGCCCGGCGCTGGATAAAGGTAAGCTGCTGAAGGGGTTTTAACCCCTTCAGCACCAAGGGAAGTGTACCCTTGGGGCGAGGGACCCCCAAAGATTATATAGTGTCAGGAAAACTGCTTTGTTTTCCTGACATTATAGTGATCCTTTAAATTTTAAATCCACTCTAAATCCACTTTAATTTCTCACTTTAGTGTATAACCTTGTATTTACACGCAATGCTTACCTTACCAGCATCTAGATTATTTTTCTAGAAAAAAAAAGTTTTAGTACAATTTTCAAACAATTTTAAAGGTGCATTTTTGCATATCTGTATTCAAATGTAAGCTACATTTTACCATTTTTTAAATAGATATTTTATATTGTATGGAGCGACACCCATGCTTTTGCTAAAGGCAACGGTATATTACTCTACTTTAACATCTTTTATGTAACAGCTTTAGCTATTTCCTCTTTCGAGCCATGGGGATACTAATGGTTACACTCTTAAAACAAAAGGCGCAGGAGATATTCACTGAAACAATGTAATGAAAATACAATTATAGACATTATTCGGTGAGCAAGCAGTTCCGCCTCTTATGATTACAGACAGTGCAGTATTTAATCAATATTTTCCATTAGATCTTTGAATATATTAGTTGCAAAGTGTTGCACTAATAATTTTAGATAGAAAAACATTAGCTTAAGCAGATAAACATCTGGTCTTTACTTTTATTTTAATAGTTAAGTAGTCAGTGTAATAATAAAAAAAAAATGCAAATGTAAATATAAAATAGTAGTACTGCATTTTGTCAAAGCACACAATCAAAATTATCAAGACACCCCATACAGTGTGAGGCTAATGTAGAGGCAAGTTGGATTGTAGCAAAATAGACATAGATTGCACAGAATCGTGCTCACTGTGCCTAAAGGGGTGTCAGCTACACCTTGCTAAAGAGGCCCATAGAAGGCTGAAACGTTCGTATCTCATGCGCAGAAAGAACTGGCTGGCATTTCAGTTTTGGATTGTCCTTACGGGTGGGATCAGTCTCATATGCCTTGGAACTGGTTCTCACTGTAATGGGCACGTGAGCAAAAACTATTTTGAGACCTGAGTGGGGATTTACCGAAGGACAGGCTACTGAGTTCCTCTAAGCTTTTGTCTGTGTTCAGATTTTCTGTTTTTGTAGATATATAATCGGCATCATCTAATTACCATCACAAACGTCCAGCCACAAGGGCTCTTGCCCTCTCATATTTTCATTTGTTGAATTTGTTGCAATTTTGTGCAGGTCTTGCTGACCCACTATACAGTGCTACAGATTCAGAATATATTTGTGCTCGCTAAACAATATAATAATAATATATCAACTCCCCCCACTTATGAGAACTACCCATTTTACGTTTTGACAAAACAGAGATAGGTGTTGCTGGATGTCAGGACGTTGAGTTAAATGGGCATTGGCTGAGTATCACCGTATTTTAACTACCAGACACCCCAGTTCTGCCACCTAGCACAGGTATTCGATCCCTGTAAGACATATATCACAAATCATCATATGGTATTTGTAAAACAGAATTGTAGAAAATTACATTTACAAAATAATAATGCACATAGTTAAAAAAAAACAACCTCTAACCTTAGATAAAAATCAGGGGACTGTAACCTGGAATAAGGGAGATTTGACTTCCCCATCTTGTATAGACTCACACTATACATTACAAGCTGTACATTTAATATGAGACTGTTGTAGAATGTAGAAAGCAAAGTAAATGCTGTTTTGCGTTGATTTTATTTAAACACTGAACTCTGATTCCTCCACCATCAAAGCGTCCTTGTCTATATGAGACTTCGTTGCCATGACAACAGAGCACTGCCTTGCTGAAGCAGAACGTTCGGTTTCTTTTTTTAATCGCACACCTTTTTGGCTTTGATCCGTCTCTGCCGCTGGGTGGCGCTGTTGCACAGATAAAGCACGGTGCAGACCTGGGCGCTTGCGCAGCAGCTCCGCAGTCTGCGGGATCCCGGGGTGTATGAAGTGTTTCTGCCAGTGCTGCATTAGGTTACCCCGCCCTCTTGCAGATAACACGGGCTGGGTTTCTGGCACAGAGTCAGCATCCTTAAACCTCGTGGGATCTTCATTCCCTCTCCTTTCCTCTGCTGGGAGGGTGGAGAGACACTGTATCAGTATAATGGAAGGGGGTGGGGGGTGTCTCTGTTCTGGTCCAGAGGTATAGGATGTACTGCATGCAATAGACATCAGGACTCATTTGCTGCTAAGTGCAAAGAGCCTCACAGCTATTAGGGGTGTGTGCAGTGCAATACTCTGCAACATAGCTGCACATAGCTCCAGTGTCCTGCTACAGGAATGCTGTGTGAGGGGGGAGGCTGATTGAAGTCCTGACAGGTCAATAAACCATCAATGCTTTCCTCTCCTGCCTGATAAAACTGAACATTTTAACTCTTTATCTTTCTGAACAGCAAGGAATGGATTTCCTTCATTTCATAGTGTACATTCATTAACCCTTATCCCTGCAAGGAATGGTTTTCCTTAATTTCATAGTTTGCATTAATTAACCCTTATCCCTGCAAGTGATGGCTTTCATTCATTCCATAGTGTGCATTAATTAACCCTTTCTGTTAATAGAGTTCCAAAATACATAACATTAAAAAGAAGTATTAGGCTTCCCAGTACCAGGGGTTTAGCAAGATGTGGTGATTTCTATCTGACCTTTGAGTCCCAGAAGTCTCATTAAAAGTGGGTATATATATATATAACAATCCTTTCCATCACAGTGATTTGATAATCTCTGATTAGGAAAATTGCGAACTTGCTGTTTTTATTACTGATTGTAAATTACATGCAGTGTATTTCCTGCAGTTTAGCTCCAGAAAGGGTTAAGTATTTTCATGTTAGCAGGCAGAAAAACTAAGCAGTGATAATTTATTGTCCTATCAGGACTTCAGTCAGACTCTCTCAGCCTCCCTCCTCACACAGCCTGCATGCAGGTCCTGGGCTCCCCAAGATATAAGGGATACATATTTTCACAGAGAATCTACTTAGCAGAGTAGAATGTGCAATGCTCTGCAGCAGAGTGAACTCACAACCAGGATAAAAAGGGTTAGCCCTGGACAAACCTAAGGGGATGTAGCCTCATGTATTGCAATTATGTATCATTCTTTAAATTTACATTTCTCTCTTTTTTAATGCACATTATTTAGACAAATACATTGCACACTAGATAGAAATAAATACTAGTGTTTGCCAGAAATAGTGGGATGGAACCCCTATAATGAATCTAGAATATTCATCCATAACATTAGCTAGACAGATTCATTAAAATGCGTTACCTGTCAATTTCTGCATTTCTCAGCTTTTCTTTATGGTCCTTATAAAAACTCTACTGAAATCAGTACGATTAATCTTTTATACACTCCACACCTCATATTTTTTCTTTATATGCTTTAATTACTAGGCATATTAACAAAAAAATAAATATATTTTTCTATGTCAATCTCTTTATGTTTTGTATTGTCTGTTGGTCATTGTTAATGCCTCATCCTAGCTTTAATGGGATCCTCCTTGCTGTGCGAACATCTAAATTCTCATCGTTCACCCCCCTGCATTCTGAGCTCTTCATTTTTTCATGTCTATAACTATGTTAGCAAAATGCCTTCACATTCAAATCGTAACAGATTGATACTATCTATATTTTGTCTGCAGTTACCTCTTGTTTGGCGGTAGGGGGTGATGTCACTATTAAAGAGTTGTGTTTCAAAATTTCTCATCTATGTAGCATTTGTTATGAGCCCTGCAGTCTAACCTCAGTTCTTTGTTTGGAGACATTTGGTTTTCTAGACTTAGTACAATCCACTTCTGTTTTCTTTTAAATTCACCTGAATTTGAATCAATGCCATCTCGTTCTATCTGCTCCTCAACTGGTCTCTGTAATCCGCTGTGTTACAAGTCTTCCCTAGGGCAATGTAACATATGGTTCAACACTCTATATCAGATGTGCCTTTTGAATGATGATGCAGAGTTCCAAAGTGTAAGTCACCTGATTCCATATGATTTAATTACCTTAAACTCAGCAACGTTCTAACC